TTGTCCCATATCATGGGGACAATCCCAATACTAGAAATGGCGCGCGCTTACGGTCTCCGTCCCCGATTATGGCTCCTGAATAGACCTCATCACGGTTTTCGACACCATCTTGACGGGTAGGCAAAGCGATCAGAAATTACAGTGTTTGTATCGGAATCCGATGGCAAATAACTTTTTCCAAAATTGAATTTTACACAATTTGTGTATCAAAACGTTAAAATGCTGGGTGGAAGATTGTATTCACCAAGTTTGAAGGACTCAGCTTGGCTAGAAGACGCTCAGTTAATTTTTAATTTCCCATACATTTGTCTATAATTTTTTTCCCGCGAACCGCGTCTACCCAGCCAAATTTTACAGACATATGTATGGAAAATTAGAAAAATTAACTGAGCGTCTTCTAGCCAAGCTACATCTTCCAAACTTGATGAATACAATCTTCTACCTAGTATTTTAAAGTTGCGATTCACAAATTGTGTAAAATTCATTCCCATACAAACACTGTAATTTCTGACCGCTTTGCCTACCCGTCAAGATGGCGTCGAAAGCCGTGATAAGTCTATATCGAAAGGAATATTTTGTTTACAGGTAGATGGCCCTATAACCCGGGGGACTTATAAGCGGGAGGCCTTATTAGTAGCAGTTTACAGTATGCTCTTCAATTAGATGTCTATCAGAGCGCCTGCTGTGTTTTTATTTCCGAATCAGATTTTTATGATCATACCAAACGAGAAAAATATTGAACCCGCTTCCCTAAAGCCGATGTTATTGTTAGTTTCTAGACATTTTCATCCGAAAATCGATCGAGATATATTTGTCCTTGAATTTTCCCACTAAAATCAACTTTCTGTTCATTTAATTTATGGCCTTTATTCTACCGGGTTTTTTTGTTTTTTTGGTTTTTTTTTTCACATTTCCGGGTGTGTATTTTTTTCTGTGTCTCTTCGATAAAAGCACACCTCATGACTTTATCTAAGGGCAAATGATGAAAGTTGCGAGTACAGATTTAAGCTGGAATCGAAAAAGTATCGAGGGCCGTTCGTAAATGACGAAACAAGTCTATATATTGAAAACAAAGAAAGTTTACTAACATAGAAATTTTGCTTCCCTCAGTCAATTTCGACAAAACAATTAAAAAAACAACTAATCATTAAGTAGGTTTTTTTTTTCGTATGCAAATTTACACGACTTCCGACTGATATATTTTGCGATAAATATTTTATTTTACTTCGAGTCTGGACAGGTGCAAGAACTTCGCAAAGGTTGCTTTCGGTTTAAATACAACTGACTTAGAACAAGAATTATATACTCAGATTCGGCCATTGAAGCTAGGTTCAGTGTAACCCTTTCCTATGAATTCAATGTCTTCAGTAACGTACTAATGAATGTAAAAGACAATGATCGAAATGGCTTTTAAGCGAGAGCAAAATTGAAGACCCAAAAGTGCGCAAATTTACAGGTGTGGCGAGCGATACAATGGCTTAGCGGCAAAAACCTGATGTTTATATATTTGTTGCCAACCCCGGTTTTCTTCCGTGGTAAAACACTTTTTCGAAATTTCAATGTTACGTTATGTACGAAAGTCATAAATGTGTTATCACAAAAATGCCCCTCCAATACAGCATTCAGTTTAAACTGCAGAGTATACATTTGTCCAGCACGGGTTTAATATAGTCTTGGCTTGATCGGTTTGCAATAGCTAGAATTAAATTCAGTACCCGTAAAATACTAGCGGGAATCGTTGCGGTTAATACGATTGCATAAAACTTATTTCTGCCTTTCAATGCAAAGTATCCACGTTGAAGAATATATTCTGTAAAAGAGATGAAACTTTGTCCTTACCTAGTCGAGAAGCGCGTCTCCCAGTATCATGGTGCCACAGGATGACTTTTTTGTCTTTTGAAGAGGAAGCTAAAATCGATCCAATTGAGCAGAAAGAGCAAGATGTAACTTCTCCAGTATGGCCGCCCGAAAGAGTCCTCAAAATCTCTCCGGTCGCTATTGTCCAAAGAATAATTTTTCCATCGACAGAGCAAGTAGCGAGGATTTTCTCTTTTGGATCGACAGCGCAGTACAACACTGCACCTTCATGACCGTATTCTAGGCGATGAACCAAGCGCCTCTCGTACAAAACACTGCTGTCTCTTGAAGACATGCCTACCAGCTTTGCGCCTTCCCCTGAAAAAGAGAAAAATCCAGATAACTTTTTCCAGTCAAACTCAGTCTGATCTATAGAGCGATTGAAAAAACACTTCGCCCAGATTTTAATTTTAGTAAGGCGTTCCAAGCTGCCAGAGTTGTTGTCATCTGGCAGAAGTGACAGTAGTTGGCACCTTGACGAGTCTATGCAAATTTAATATCAGAAGCATTGTCGGCCAGTATTATTGTTCTCGCGGACATAACATAAGAAAGCAGAAAACTATTGTCACGTCACCAGAAAAGATACACTTCGTCGTGACACAAACAAAAGAACATCATGAATAAATATCTGAGAGGGGAAATATCAAACCATGGTCATAATATATGGACAGTGTGCTACAAAAATAGTCCCTTTTCCTAGTTAAGGGATTTCTATCTTTGCTTAGGCCAGCTGCTTGTGTTAAATTTTAATTTTCGGGGGTTTCTTTTCACAAATATGTTACTCTTTTGACTGCATCAGTCGCCTTTTCGTTCAAAATCGTAAGCTGCGAATAATCGTTTTCTCTTTGTTGACTGTTTGTAAGAAAATGAAATAACTTTCAGTACCGTAAAACGAAAGATTTTGGCTTTAAGCCCCCTGAAGCGAAGACCATGCATCGACAGACAACACTGAAACAAGTGAAAATTCGACCTTACTATTGCAGTCGAACTCTATGAAAACAGTCAAAAGCGCACATCAAATTCACAGGCAAATCCACCGAGTCTGATCTGAATTAAAATATCATTTTAGTTTTACTTTTCATGTCAAGACTTGCAAGTTTTATAATTTGGTGTTGATTAAGGTTGACAATCAGAACTTACCTGTAAAATTAAAAGCAGAGGAGAAGAATTAATAACTCCAGGTCGATTGGCCAGTCGACACCAAAGTTTATATCTGACCGACTTGTCGTGCGCAATTAACTGCGCAAATGTTTTTCTTTGAGGTGAATGACGTTTTGTTCGTTTAGCTTGATATAGCTTGATATACACGTCAATCAATCACTTAATTGTTACTACGATGTTAAGATATAAAAAGTGAGGTCAACCTTGATTTGTTGCACGCAAAGAGCTTGAGAAAATAAGTGGGGTACAATGTTGTTTTGGTGGGTCACGCCATCTGTTTTCCGACTTCGTATTAAATCATAAATAGCCTTGACGTAGATCTGCATCGATCTTCGGCCAAATTGCGTTCAAATATTTTTCTGAGTTCTACTCACTAAAATGGACTGTACGGGCAGGCGCGCGCCGCCCGCAGTGGGTATCATTTTCGACTTTTTCAGGCTCGAGGGATATAAAATTTTAGCGATTTTTCGTGTTAGTTGAAGAAAAGAAGGGAAGAGAAAACTGGCCAAAAGATGATAGTTAAAATCAACCAGATATGTTTTCGGGAAGGAAACCAGCGCTGAATTATGAAGAAAATCTTTAGTCCAAAGCCATCTCTTCCTCCAAGGACCCGATGGCTAATATAAGGAGAGTACAGCAACGGCAACGGAACGGGAACGTCGCTAAACAAAAGGTTTAATGAGTAGAACAATGGCTGTGCACGTGCGTTATAATTTTTGGTACATTTCTTTGCCGTCCTCTGCAAAACAACAATGTGAAATGACCAAATTCTGCGTTGTCTGGACAACGTGAACCACGACGGCTAATTTTTCAAACTTTTATTTCAAATTTATCGCTGTGTCCGAGATTCAGTTTCGTGATAGTTTTGACAGTGATAAACAAAGTAAATGACTTTAGAGCAGAGATTCGCAGGTAGGATGTAAAATCATTTTTTAATCGACGTTGTTCTCGGCTGGGTGGGTTCCATAGTGCATCAAAGGAACCGACGAATCCGTGACCAGATTCCTTTGATGCACCATGATCCGAGTGATCTTGGATCACTGATCCTGATCCAGATCACCCCAAAGGAACGCACCCTTAACCTCCCTAGTGGTTCTGTGACGGTATAATGTTCTAGGTGAAGATACTAACAGGCACATAACCCGATTGGAAAATGTCTCTTCTCCTATTGATCGTTTTTTTCCTTCAGGATTTTTCTTGCAAAAAAAAAAGAAAAGAAAAGAAATCTCGTGGTCGTTAACATTGGAAACATTCCCCTGTCACCTCGGCCAGTTTCAAAGCTCCACAGAGATAGTGGAAGTAGGTCGAAGTACTACAAAGACTTCAAAGTCCGCGAAAACAAACTGCAAAGCAGCTGAAAAGCGTCTGTAAATGTTGATGACCTTGGGTAATGACCTGTTAGTTTTGTTATTCACTGAATGCTGTTAGGCAATTTGCAATTAAATTGATCTCTGTGAATTCCCATTCTTCTTTAAATGGTAACACAATACCAAAGCTCTTATCGTTTCAAATTAGGCAGCGTAACTATAAACATCTTCCAGTGAAAGCTGGCGGACAATATTCGGGTGATTGTCCAAAACACGACCTGTGAAGCACGTGAGAGATTTGCCATACTTTCATTCGGATAACCTTTGTTCCAAGGTTTTTTTAACTTTCATTTTAAGATCATTTGTGTAAAATTGCGTTTAAAAAACCCCTTTAAAGATTGCTACGACGTGTAAATTTGCAGTCAATTTCTCAATTGTTGTAACTGTGTTCTTGATTGTAATTTTGCCGGAAACAGCTTTCTGAACCTGTTAAATTCTTGGCAGCATTTTCTATCTTCGCGAATTAACAAACTATATAAATATAAAATGTCATAGCTTACAGCTTACCATAATCATATGTGCAGACGAAGTAAAGCACCGATAACCTTAGTGACCTCTCAATATCGTGTTTTATTTTCTGATTAAAGTATTTCAAACGTTTTAGAAACGAGCTGGACATACTTGTACTCCGCACATCTCACTGAATTCGACCTTTCTGGGCGCGACGTTTCATTTTCTTGCTTGTTTTTGACAATTTGCTTCGTGTTTTTCATTTGCGTGATCTACTAGAAGTAAATCTACATTTAGAAATCCTGTGCATTCTACGGACGTTACGACAATTAGGCCAACAAGAATATAACCACGAGAATAAAACACAAATTGTATGTATGCATGTATGCATTCAAACCAAACTGCCGAAGTAAAGTTGCTCATTTCCCCAGTATGGTGTTGTGTTTAATACATGCACTGAATACCGAACGCGGGTTGTAAAATTGCGGTAGGCGCAGAAATTAGTCGTTATTTGACAACGATTTGCTTGTGTTGAAAGAAAGTTGTAAAATTACATGAGAAATATTCAAAGCAAAGCAATGCAATGACAAGCAAAATAGCAATATAAACTAATAACTAAGTACTCACTCTTTGAGTCCACTCTCTCCGGACCTAAGCTTCGTTTCTTCGGCCAACAAAATGTCATGGCAGCGTTTCAAACCCACTATTTTAAAATATCACGGCCAAGTAACCAGATTTAGCTCTTGGAAACTTTCGTAATTCAGTACTAAGGCTCAAAAACCATCTTTCTGTAGAATTAAGAATTTAACGTTGTAAAAAAAAAATTGTTCTACGAACTTTCCAGAGCGGCTGAAAACGTAGCTATGACATGAACGTGATCTGAAATTTGAAGACAAATATTTCAGCAGTGACAGCCCATTGCAGTGCTAATATGTGCTGAGTGGGTGTTTGTGTCACGCAGAATTTGTTTTTAAATAACACTTGAAGGATTAATCAATCGCGTCGACCTGTTGTCGACCTTTAGGCGAGCGGCGAGGACACGGTTCACTGCTTTTCCTTCGTAACCCAAAGGTAGAAGGTAAAGTCTGCATACGAGAGCTCACGAGCCAAGTGGCCCATCACGCCTACACTTATCTTGAGTTAATAGTGCTTGTACCCGTAGGAGTACTTTGTTAGGCCGGCTCCAGAAAACAAAATCCGCCGCCAGCCCCAATCCCACACTTACTAGTAGAGAGGTGTTTCAAGAGAAAGATCTTAAATGTTTGTGGCCGGGATATACTCCAAGATGGAACCCCATCTCAGACTAAACTGAGGCTAGACTTGGAACCAGCCCGAACACGGACAAAAGATAGTTTCCCCACCCCCCAACCATTTCATCGACAGCGGAAATCGCGCTTTTCCTGATATTTCCCGTGGGATTAACCCCTGAGTCGACGAGGGTGATATACCCCGGGGGGGAATGTAGGAGAGTCCAGTGAGATTGTATGGAATCTTCTTCCCTGTGTAGGAGATGTTTCAAAACCTTGAGTAGAAGGTTGGCGGACAGGGGAAATTCCTAAAATTTTGTTTTTGAACGCGAAGCAGGGAAACAGCGGGTCACCGCCGTTAAAAAAATAAATATCATAAGGAGAGGACAAGGAAAGACAGAAATTAGCTTTCCCACTCTCTTAAGGCCAGCTATTATTTTTTCTTTTAGCTGAAGAATTGTCGAAACTAATCGTTCTCTTGTCCAGTGTTCTAGAATATTTAGAGTCTCATTTTTGTCTGTGGCCTGCCGTGACGTCATGTGATGACGCTGGATATGGCCTCATCAGTGACGTCACGCCAAAACGATCTCATAGACATTCTGTCTGAATGTCTATGAGATCGTTTTGGCGTGACTTCACTGATGAGGCCATATTTTAAATTATTTAAAAATCAAAGGCTCTTTGCTTTGGGCTGACTCGTGTCACTGGATTTAGAGTGCTTAGAAATCCACTGTTATGCCAAACCAAACAAGTGTTAGGCAAGCGTAACGCTTGACAGAGTAAACAGAGCGGATTTTCGTCTCCGGTGTTTTAACGATATACCGCGGTGTGGCACTAAAATTTTGCGGGTTCTAACTGAATTTTCGCGATTTTTGCGGTTTTTTCCACGATGCGCAAAAAAAGTTCCCGCAAAAAATTTACTCCACTGCCGGACGAAATTATACATGCAAACATCACAAGTAGAATCTTGTTGCTGCCAGTTACTAAAACGTCTCTTTCGGTCAGAACAAAACGGTGAAATGAGAAACAAAACGTTCGCAAATAAAAAAAATAAGTATAGAGAAAAGGATCGTCTGAAGGTACCCCATTGAGAAGAGCATCTGCAATTCCGCACATGTAGTTTTGATGTAATTGCGATAGAGTGACACTGATTGCTGGATTACTGCGTTTTACATAGTTCCCGCAAAATACAAAAAACCTCGCCGATTCGCTGAACATTTTCTCCCGCAAACATTTAGTGCCACACGTACACCCGGGCACGTTCACCGAATCTCGCCAGATTTGACCCTTATTGGCAATTAACTTGTCTGATTTATACCTGTTTTGCTTATTCCCGGAAAGTGCGCATTATATGTTAGATCCCCAGATTTTCAAGTTATGTTAGTATAGGGATGCATTTAGTTTTTTGAGACTTCAGTAGGGTTTCCTAAAACAGATTTTGACTCGGATTAGAATGTTTATTTTAAGCTTAAATTTGATGTTAGTTGCAGCTTTATTTCATGCTACAATAGTTGCCAGAGAAAGCACTAGGATGAGTTCGGAGTTATTGCTTGGTCTTCAAGAAACTGTAACTCAACTGAAACTACTCGTTTTGTTGTTGTACAGAAACAGAGCCACCTTGCTGCTCTTCGATTTCAGCAAGCAACTAAGAAAAGTTTTTTAAGCAACTTTTGCGATTTTAAGCAGCTTTAGAGCAAATTTTGGGGATATTTTTGAGCAACTTTTTGACATTTTTTGAGCAGAATCTGTCTAGGCCTCGCTATTACCCAGTGAATGCAATCCGACCTGGCCTGACCCATGTTGACTCGCCTAAACATTGCATTGAGATATTGATCATATCATAGACATCATAGACAATTTTTTTTTCTAATTCTTAACTGATTGCTTATTCGCAGAAAATGCGCATTAGAGTACGTAAGTTTTTATTCAGCCCTTTGAGATTACACCATTTTGTTAATGCTAGCTCCAGTCCCTTGTGGGGACAAAATTTGACCTATTTAATGAATTAATAAGGCCATTTTGGGCCGAGTGATCACTTCGTACCTCCACAAGGGAATGGAAATAGGAAATATTTACATTAGCAAAATGGCCTAAACCTGCCATTTACTGTCAAAATTGATTAAATTGCGAGAGTTGCGTGAACCCTGGGGCAGAGTCAATTTAACGTTTCATGCCTGCAGTCTTTCGTAGCCAAAATTGATTAACTTGCGAGTCGCCATGGCCAGGACTGCCTTTCGCAGTATCGACAGTTACCTTACTTTAGCAATGCGAAGAATCCTTACACAAGAATGGAGCAAAACCATTCTCATGTTTACCCCCCTTTATTCTATGGCCAGCTCCGTGAGCGGGCAAGATGAGTCAAATCCTGCGCTGTGATTGGCTACCCGAGCAGGTAAGATGGAGCTATCTTGCCCGCTCGGGACTACCCTCCGTGTCCCGCAAGAAAAAATTCCCCGAAAGCTATCCTTTTTTGACCAAGCTTTTTCGGTCAAGATGACTGGATATTGGCCAAGTTCTTTTTTTTTTTTGCATGTTTATGGACCTCGACTCCGTCTCGGTCATTAAACACGCAAAAAAGAACTTGGCCAATATCCAGCCATCTTGACCTCACACTTGGTCAATAACCCATATATAATGGCCTATACGGGGAAGCTGGTACCTTTTTCAGGCTTTAAGTAAAAGGGTAGGGATCTCACAATTTGAGGTATATGAGAGCGTAGGGAAATCTGTCACTGTTATTTTAAGTAGCCTTTAATTAAAATATTTCGAACAGACGTACCTTAAGGCTGTATCATTTAATTTATTAGGCACTACATGAAAATGTCAAGAAGACTTCTTTTTTGGCGATTTAGTCATAATACGGGCCAGGTATGAAAGTATGTGAAAGGGGTCCCGTTTTTAAATTGAAGGTATACGAAGGGTGCACCTTTTCTGTCAAAATAATATACTAAGGGCTAAGGGGTTGGCTAAGGGGGTATAGCCTCCCCGTACAGATTATTTTTAAGTGCCCCCTTTCCCCCCACCCCGGGTGTCCACGTGACCAGAGTCAAAGGACAGGAGGCTAAAACTGCCGCCACAGCCCCAGTAAGGGGTTTTAATTGCAAGCTAAGGTAGCTTGCCCTTAACTTAAAACAATACTAAACACAGGCAATAAAATTGACGATTTATTTCTCCTTGATTTCAGCGCAGTTTTCTTTACAATTCATTTGACTGAAGAGTAACAACGGCTAATTACAAAACCGTCCCTGACATTGTGCAGATCGAGAGCTTCTGCACGGCAAAGCTTCTTTTGAAAGCACTTATATGTATAGTATATATATATAAATATTAAATTCGCTTTAGAAAATAAATAAATGCTAAAAAAAAAAATATTCAAGTACCCTCCCTTCACCGTTTCAAGGTCCGCTTCTATGCTTTCAGACTTGACATTTGTCCATAGCTGATCTAAACAGACTCCTATCTTTGTGTAAACAAATTTTGTACGAGACCGCTTAAGTGTAAGGTCAAAACCTACTGAGCCACACTTTCCTGTCTACAGAACGAACTTAAAGCAAAAGGAGCCAGTTTCGATTCGCAAGCGCTGCAACGCCTGAAGACTGATCTTCTACTCCACAACAGGGTGAACTTCTTTCAAAATGGAAAACAGAAGAAGAGAGGATAGGCTCTCACTGAAAAAAATTATCCCCATAAACAACAACAAAAATGTACTGACCATTTCTGTCCATGGGGACGAAAGGTTAAAAAAACTGTCACTTTGTAAACAGATTCCAATGAAGTATCAAAAAATTGACAGAAAAGCTAAGTAAAGAACATAAACTAATCTGTAGACAACATATGGATAATATTTTAACGCCTCAAAAAGGCTCAGCTTATACAAGGTGTCTTAAAAAAGAAAGACTTGTAAGACAGTGAACAATAAAACCCCATTATTTCATTTTTTTGAAAAAAAATGTACCTTTGAAATATTGTGGTATTATGAGATAACAAAGTCACATCATTAGAAGACAGAAATCAACAATACATGTCATTGCCTTACTTAAGATAAAGGTCTAAAATCACTCAGCTTACTGTTAAGCAAATTAAACTGCATATCAGCGATTGAACCACCAGCTACCTCTTGCCTTCAAATAAACTGCTAAACAATTATGCCAACCAGCAACAGCAGACACTTTTGGTTAAAGGGGCTATGTCATGGACGGCACAACGCTAGGCTAGGGTTTTCAAGCATATCATTTTTAATCTGTTGCAATCATAATCACTGTCCCTTCTTTGTTTTCTTAACTCATAAGAAATGTCTGCCATGCTGAAAAATACACGTGATATACAGTGACACAGCCCCCTTAAGGTTCTGTATAAGAATTTCTACCATCAAAATATCATTACTTGCCGCCAAGGCATAGCAAAGCCAGGACTGAGTGAAACTTTTAAGAGCTACCTTAATCAAGTAATTTTGATATTATATCTTTCAGCTGGCTTCCACTCTTTCTCACACTGAAGTTAGATGAACCCACCTTTCAAATTTCCCAGCGTTGCCCAGCACACTTATGAAAACCAGCCTCAACTTGACAAGTTAATTTTTCGGAATTACAATGCCACACAAAAATGAGTCTGCAAAATTGTGATTAAAAGTGAACTTGCAAAAAGTATCAAAAAATCCTGACTGGATGTACATAAAGTAAGTACTTTTATCGCTGTGTAATTGAAGTTGCTATTTGAGTAACTAGCTCTAACTGAAACAAAAAGGTAAAAACGGTTTGGTAGATTCTTACAAAAACTTCGTATTTTGAAAGGATTTCATATTGTATAAGGAGTCAAAAAGTGACCAATTAATCCAGAGCTACATTGACGGTAGCAATGTTATGATGGACTAATCAGCGATGAAGAGAAGAGACATGGTCGGTGGCAAATGTAACTACATCAGACAAAATATGACAAAGACATCTACAAGCCTTGATTATAAGCTTCCGAGCAAGAAACTTTGTAAACAGAACATTTATTACACTGGCACACTGATAAAAAAGCTAACTGTTCAAATTTGTGAGCCAGTGTTCTAAACCATTGTTATTTGGAAGCTTGATTTGATTCTTGTCTGCCTAGACCTAGTTGTTCAAATGGGTGAATTACATCAACGACTGGATAACATCAACCAATAAACACTGGCAAAACCAATCATGCTTTACGTAACAGAATGCATTGATGATCCTTTGAACACCTAGGTCTGAGTGCTATTGGGCTACTGTAGTTATCTTATCCTGTTATTGAAATGAATCCCAAGTTTGCGCAAAAAATATATATATTCAAAGATTATCCAACTTTGAAAATAATTTGCTAGCAGATAGCTATATACAGCTATAATAATATACACCATGGTTTTTTAAACTTCTTCAGCCCCATTACCAACTGATAAATTCTCCTTAGTGAACTTCATACATATCTTATATTACCAGTTGAGAGAAAATTATTGTCCCTAACTTTTCACGTCCTCCTTTCCATCAATATGGCCTTGTTGTTATCTCTTTTCAAGCCATTACATTGATCCCGTTGGATTTGAGACCAACTCATATCATATTAGAATCTTCTAAAATAACAGCTAAAGCTCCTCTAAGACACATCACATCACTTGTCCCAGTTCCAGTTCAAATCTACTTTCACTGAGTTAACAACACATAAACAAGTTCACTGACTTGAGCCATAAAACTACTACAGTCCACTCTGACCACTGAACAAATAAGTTGTAAAAANTAATCAAAAGTGTTTTAACAAACCTTTCACATGAGAAACAGAGTAAAGACTTGTTTCATAAGAATCGTCAAATTTTGATTGGCAAAGGGGTTCAAAGTCTGCAATTAAAAACATACCGAACAGCTATTTAAGACATTAATTTTTTAAGTGCTGAAATGGTTAACATTGATTCATTGACTTTGTGACTTCAGCCACTGTGTATGCATCTTGAAGGTATAGTCACTATATACCTGAAACATACTGCCGTCCAGCTGGTGTTGTGTGACAACACTTGCACATACACGTGTGGAATCTTAACCTTCCTTCATCAAGATAAGGGTGGGATAATGCATCAGTACAAGTAATTCGCTTTTTCTAGAAAGGAAAAAAAAACAAGCTTAGTTGATGTTTGTTTCCTACAGAGGTGACAATACTGTAAAGAAGGCCTTACAAAAGTTTTCCCTCTGAAAGGTAAAATAAACAAAATAACAGACAGATGGACAGACAGACAGACAAGCCAACCAACCAGATAATTTTAGATACCTTCAAATTAAATCAGTAAGTTAGTTTAACAGTATACACAATCACATACAACTAACTTTTCCAAAAAACAACTGAAAAATGCTGAAAGCTAACCAAGTCCATAAACATATTTATACCATTCCCAAGAAAATAAAGCCAATCAGTAAACAGGAAAGCTGTTGTATAATCAACTTATTACACCCACCCTCTATGTGCACTGTGCATAAACCGCATTGACTCTGCGTTGGCCACTGTATTCCAATAGTATGGTATAAAACTGTTAAGCAATACTTTCTCATGGTATGCCATGGAATATCCTACTTGTCACTTGTATTTTCTTGGTATACTCAGTCGCCTAAAGGCTTGTCTGTATGCCAAGAAAAAGTGACTTGAAAGCGTTGTATAACTAGTATGAACCTTGTACTTACAGGGTCAAACACCAACATTCTACAAAGCAAGTGAACAGCCTCATGTGTGGCTTGATTGGACAGATTGTACAATGTAGCAAGGGTAGGCTAAAAGAACAATCACAATATTTACATCGTCAGTGAACATCTTTATATTTGAATCTAGAGTCAACCGAAATGTGTGCAATTTCACTCTACCTTGTATAAATCTATATCATAACCACCATAAGACCATTCAAATAATTAATATGCTTTCATGTACAAGTACTTGTTAGTGAAACCCTAGCATGTGGTCAGATACAGAACACTTCTCTGACATACAACAATGTTATAACTTAAAGCCGCTGAACAAAACCTTAGTGTGTGACCATTCAAATGAAAGCTACCTACATGTAGCAGTACTTTAAAAATGTACTATTGTAAAAGTAAAATTTCAATCTACTTTTCTTAATTCATGCAGTTGATACATGAAACTTGGATGTAAGTAGGGAATATCTCAGAACTTACAGCCTTGTGTCCTTTCTGAAGGATGTATTTAGTAGCTCCCTCACTGGCCCCGGCACGACATAACTCATCCAGACTAGGCGTTCCCAGCAAATTGATGATAAGGTTAAGCTAAAAGTAAGTAAGTACGCAAGAAAGGAAACAAGTAAGTATTTTTTCCAAAAATATCCAAAATACACTGTACAATACAACACAAAAAAGAATTTGAAGGAGAAGACTGAGAACATTCTACCTGCTGAACTGGACTCTGGGCCTGAAATAGGATCTTCCTACTTAAGAGTTCGGCAAAAATACACCCAACTGACCACACATCCACTGAAATGACAATCAAATACACAGATTAGAATCAAGAACTGGAAAAATATTTAACTTGCATAATTAAGTGTGAACTTGACATGTGTAGGACAGAGAGAACCTGAGTTGCATTAAAAGTGCAAGTATCTAGCTAGTTTAAAGTTCCTCCATCTACACTACTGCATTAGGTTTAATTTTTGTGTGGGCACTGACAGAGGTTTTTTTGTGTGTTGACAAGGTCCAGCACATACCTGCTTGTCCGTAGTTTGTAGCTCCAGCTAAAAGCTCGGGTGCTCTGTAATACTGTGTAACAACCTGTTATAAACAAGCCAGTTTAGGTTTAATGCAAAAGACTAAAGAAACCAAACAGGTATACAAAGAACATCTTGATGTCGCAAATAAATCTAACAATTCAGCCCAGGGTATCGGCAACAACTGGGACATCAATATCAGCAAGAGGCCAAGCCAAAACTTGAAAAAGCAATACATCTGACTTCATTTCAGTTTTCTCAGTTCTCTACAACAGCCACTTTCCTGTCCCTAAGGTAGCTGTTGTGAAGCGTGGCTGTATTCCCGAGTAACTTCAAACTATTTACTTTATCACACTGACTGTTGGATTGTTTCTCACCTCTTGTGTCATAATTGCACTCTCATGAGGCTCTTCTAAACGTGCAAGACCAAAATCACAAATCTGTAAAGCAAACACACTGATTATAAATACATGAATGGTGCATATCTTGAATTATTTCCCCCCAGGAAAAACCCTGTAAGAAAACACATGCTAAAGGAAATACTATACTTCTATTAAACAATTAGTATAAATCTGCCAGCATTGTATCACGAATGCTCTTCTATGATTGGCTATGCTACTCACTATCTATTCTGTGATAGATAGTGAGTAGCATAGCAGTGTGCACTTGTTAACAAAATGATTGCCATTTTTGAAGTGTCTGTGAATTAAGGATTTAGATAAAGTTTTGAGTGACTAGTAGATTTATCCTAAAACAATTAGATTATTCGCTCTCAATTTCTATGTGCGATAGTTGACTCGAGGCTGCACCCTTGTCGACTAACACACGATAGTCTGACAATCTCGAGCTCATAATCTAATTGTTTATTAGATTAAGAGCTTGAGATTTCTATTGCTATTCGCATAGAAATTGGGAGCGAATAATTGTTTTAAGTATAAATCTACCAGTCATTCAAAACTTTATCTGAATCCTCTTCACAGACACTTTGAAAATGCCAAAAAGCGGCCGTCATTTTGTTAACAAGGGCACACTGCTAGGCTACTCACTACCTATCACAGAATAGATAGTGAGTAGTGTAGCCAATCAGAGAATGGCATTCGTGATAGAACACTAGTAGATTTATACTAAAACTTGATAGAAACAAGGGATAAACACAAGCCACTGACTAAAGACAACACCAACATAGAGAATTTTATACCTATCTTGGCATTTAAAATATTGAATGATTTTGCTCTTGTGTTCTCGCACTGATCTTTAAGAGATACATGTAGATGAAATATTTCCTTTGTTTAACTCTGTGGAGTTATAGAAATGGTTGTGAAAGTTTGGGAGAACTCAAAATACTGTGGAAACACTCCCCTTGGCTCATATCCCACAGCATTTCTGTATCTTGCAAACCTTCTCTTGTGTTCCCACAACTCAAAAGAAACAGAAAAGTTTCCATTTCTTCATGTTTCTTACACAAACCAATTTGTAAGAAAGAGCCAAGTAAGACCTTAACGCTTATGTGTAATAACTATGTGGATCCAAAGAAGAGTGTTGGCAACATAGATGCATGAGACTGTGGATTATCAGGTGGCAAAATATTGTGCTAAAAGTCTGCATACGAGGCGAGTGGCCCTTCAGGCCAGAGTTTATCCCGGTTTTTGTAGCATGAAGAGACTTGGAGTATTTCTACTCCCCCCTGGATGGGATCCTACTCCACCCCAGGGTTACCCTCCAACATTAAATTCACAGGTACCCATTTTTACACCTGGGTGGAGAGAGGCACTGCGAGAGTAAACGTCTTGCCCAAGAACACAACACAGTGTCACTGGCCAGGACTTGAACCTAGACCACTTGATCCGTAGTTGAGAGCACTAATCATAAGACCACTGAGCCTCCCATACATGTAGTTATGCTGTAAACCTTATGTTGGTCTTCTTAAGTATCATCACAAGTAAATATGGCATTATATGTACATGTCAAAGTGTGCATTCAATTCTTGTTACTTACCTTTAAAAGACAATTGCTGTTAACTAACAAATTTCCAGGTTTTATGTCTCTATGTAAAATACCAGCAGAATGAAGATATTTAAGTCCTGTACGAAAAAGGAAAAATAAAGAGTTGCACAGTTATGAAAAGGATATGAGAGTCTTTGTCCATACAACATAATATCATAAAAAATGCACTGTACTATAGGAGGCTTGTTACAGTCCAGAGCTTGACGTTACGACCGCTGGAGACGCCAATGCGACCAAATGTTTTTTCACTAGCAACTAACTTTTCACACTTTTCACTGAAATACTTTTGCTGGCGACTAAATCTGAAAACTTAGCGGTAAACTGCCCCCAAGGTTTTTTCCTGAATGTCCAGCCCTGCAGTCCATGGAATAAAATTTTTTAAAGAGCAAAATTTAAATAGAAGCCAGTAATTGTATTGCGTATTTGGCAGTTACTTTTGAGGAGGGATTCTCATTATTGCAATTTTACATAATGTTTTGAAGGTACAAATCATCTTGCCAGAACTTTCCTGGTTTCTATAGCATTGATTTATTTGAAAGTATTTCTTCTCCTCCCTGGATGGGATGCTTGTCCATTGTAAAAGTACCGAATGACTCTGAGGACCTTACACATAGCCAGGACTTGAACCCAGACTGACCGAGAGGAAAACCTGATTGTTTCATTTTCACTTATTTTACAACGGCAAACACTCTTACAGAGCAACATCATCCAGAGCCTTAAATTTCTGCCATGTACTTTTTCTAGTACTGCTACTCAAAGACCACACCAAGAAACAAAAAAACTTACCTCGTAAAATCTGATACAGGAAAACTTTAACATGATCTGAACTAAGTGGTTGTGGGGACACAATAATTTTGTGCAAGTCTGACTGCATTAATTCTGAAACTATATATCTGTTGAATACTGCATCAAGGAAGATTATATGTAAAATAGCTGAAATAATAATGCCTACATATTGCTCGGTACATACGCTTCCTGTTCTATCAATCTTTTTTGACCACTTTGTTTAAAAAAATTACCCAACATTATTAATACTATTTGTCAATGGCAAAATGAAAACCCCCTTGTTTAGAACTGTTTCCTTTAAACTTCACAAGTTAAAATCACAAGAGTGGTAGCTTGTTTTGTTATTCATGGGCAACAGGTTGTAAACAGCTGTTTTCATATATACAACCATTCACCCACTGTATCAATTGTAATTCTTGTTACTGGTCAACACAGATTTTTTTTACTATCATTTGTGAGAATCTGTTGGCAGATCAATAACATACACACTAACTAATGATTTGAGTTAGTCTTGTCACCAGTTTGCTTGAATATGCATTCATATCAAGGAAAACTCAAAGTTTACTGGCACTTGGGAATTCAAGGGTTAGCAGAGAAGAAATAGTTACAAACTATACACAATTAACCAGAATTAGTGACTTAATGTGGGACACCAAATCCCCATCTCAAAACACTAATCTGCCCTAGTTTATTTAGACTAAATCACATTTGTTTGTTTTATTCCCAGTTAGACACAGACTCGAAGATGGCTATCAATGGACGAAAAAACTTGTATTCAAGAAAAACTGGTTATTAGTCTCAGCTTGAAAACATTCTCTTTTACACAAAAGCATGAAGTCGATCCTTTCCTGTTAAATAACAATTTAAAAGTCTATTCAAGTCAATTTGCATATATATAAGCTGTGAGAAAAGGAAACTATAGAAAATGCTTTTGTTGGCACTAAGTAACTGCAATACACGTGGCAGGAATTTGTTTTCATTAAAAAGCAATGCATTGCAGTTGTTGTGAACAAATGTCAAATACAGTGCTTGGTTACCCATAATTTATCAGCTCTACAAGCTAGCTGTTTCTTTCAGTCTTTACGGTGTGAGCATAATGACAACAACTTAAAGAAAATGATTAGAATTTGCCCAGAAGAACTTTGTCAGGTTTGTTAGGTAAAGAACTGTCATGTTACTTTTTCATGAAGAGTGAAAGACCTCATTATAAATATATACCGTAGCAGAAAGAACTTTCAGTTATGATCCAAAAGTTGTAGTTTTTGGTTCTTGGGGTACAATGAAATTTTTTATCAAACACAAAGAAAAGTGAGACTCTTGTTCTAAAGAAAAAAGAAAAAAAGATATATAAATGAATGATTCCATGGTAACATTGACAGCTACATGTGCCCTTTTAACTGGCAGATTATGCCTTGTGTTATTGAAAATGATAATTACAGCCACAATGAAAAAATGTGAAAAACTTTCCCTGTCATAATCACCGGTATATCCAGCAAGTTTAGTCATTGATTTATTCCTGACAAAGTTAAAAATTTTGGCTGCTAGATAGTGGGGTACAAGTATTTGACATCAATACATCTTAATCGAATATAATGGCTTGCCTTAGAGTAGAGAGCTCAAAATTTATCTCTAATCCTCAAAAACCGAAATATTAAAGTACTTAAAGCGGTCATACTGAAAGAATCTTTGGCCTGAGTATTTTAAAAGCTTCAAGTACAAAAAAAATCCGGTAAACAAGCCACAAACGTCATCCACAGGCGATAAATAAAGGTCATAAATCGATCAACTACGCCAGAAACGCCGATCTAAGAAGTGCGATCCTTTCAGTTCCTACGAAATGAAAAGATATCTCATAGAGGAAGTCATCTATTGTTGTCATGGCTCAAAATACAGATCGACCATTCTACGGACCGGAACTGAACACTGGCGCATAAAGAAAGCCGAACTTGCCAACGCAATTTACCGACAAAGGCCGTCAACGACTTGAGGAAAACACTAATGAAAGATAAGGCTGAGAAAATCGATAGGTTTCACGCATAAATACATCGATATGTTAAATATCACCATTAATAGCGCGCATAATGAAAGAGTCGGCGTCTTGAAACACAAAGCGAAATGTTGGCAAAGCAACAGGTGGGAGACGATAGAAGTGCGATCGTAAAGCCCAAACTCGTACAAAGGGAAAAGTTCAAAATTTTATGCCATACCAAAAACCACAAATATTCGTCTTTTCACTGTGAACGACAACAGCTTTGCATAATCTCTATGGGAGGCCCAAGTTTTCTTTAATTTATTTCTTTATACGATACGAATTGATATTTGTAGCAAGGTTTGAATATTTATAAAACGAAAGCGAACTTCAAGATTTCAATACCCGCTTCCAAATGTATTACCGAACGCAACTTCCCATCTACAGAAGTTGGCGAAACGATAAATTCAAGCGACAGAGAGTCGTCGAGGAATAGCCCCTCCTTGGCCCAAACCTCTCTCTCAAACTGTTTTTCAACATTGTTCAAGATTTTACTTTGTCACGCTACAAAGGTATATACAAAATCGATTCTCTTCCGAAGAAACAAAGGATACATCTCTTGGAAGAAGTCTACATGGCCTGGATGAACGATGTCCAAAGCGGAGAGTACCTAAACGATGAAATAATGATCAAGCGGCAAAAATAAGTTCATGTATCAAACATAAGCTTACGCTGAAAACGACCAGTTTATGTTTGAATAATTATGTATTCAATTCTAATATGAACTCGGCATTCAATGAAATGCCGGCATTTGAAACCAAGAACTAAGAATAAGACTTACGTTGTTATGTTTGAAAAAACACAGCATCTTCAGTTCCCTGTAAGCCCTTTTCGAAGACGTGAGACTTTGAAAAACGTTCGGCATCTTCTTCAAAGCGACCCTCTTTCCATTCCTCGGATCTGTCACAGACCTGATGAGATACGAGGAAATATTGTCAAAAGAAAGCTTCAAAATACGACAAATTCAGCTGCGTTAACAGCCGGAATATACTCACCACACTACGCCGAAAGCTCCATAACCGATAGGTCGATCAGGCTGGGTTTCTTGTTGTGTCTGAGGAGCGTAATGTGAACTGTGGCAGCCCGTCGACGGCTGTTGGGAGTGCGTCGAGGGGAACGCCATGAAAGCCCGGCTCTTGCACACAGCCATCAAAGACGCGATGCTTCGGCCACCCGAGTCATTCTAGTGCCATGGTGTTGACGCCTTAGAAGCGTTGCATGTTCAGCAGCGTGCTGAAAGGGAGAAGGAAAATCACTTAAGAGAGAGAGCGATTTCCTCTTGCATCCCTTGGCTTGGGATCGGTTGACGCAGCTCTTTCTTGGTCGGGTAGTACGCACTGAGTGAGACTGCTGGACTTTCGAACGCACATGTGGCGGTGTGGCAAAGCACTGTTCTGCGCACGCGTCACGCAACACCCTGCAGCGCAAAGCACTCTGGGCGTGCGCTTACGACAACAAACGGTCACGAAAATTATAAAATCACGCGAACTAACACTGCGTCATATATTTGGCTAATTTAACGTTTCTCACGGGAGCTCTGCTGAAAAGCTATCAAAATACCTTAACGCACCAGTTAAAAGGAAAGAAATGTTTTAAAGTAATTCTAGTTTGTCCTTGTATTGACTCGTTTTCATTTCGCCAACTTGACCAGGTTGCATGCAGGCAGTTGCGTTGCCCTATTCGCGATTCGTGCGTGAACAAGTTTTGGTCGCTCACGTACCGGTAAATGACATTTTAGACGTCAAGTGATCCTGGGGCGTTTTAGATTGGGCTGTGCTCTCATCATCAAACTTTTCAACTGAGACGCACGCGAGTGATAATCTATAGTTATACTTAAAATGTTCATCGCAATATGTTTACCTTATAAATATCCGCAATAAAAATAGCAAAATTCAATTTTGTGGTCTTTGAATAGAAAAACAAAATCGTCCAACAGAAATTTTGGGGAGTATATCGTAATATATTTTCGTAAATTTACTTCATTGATCATCCGAAAGTTGAGCTTCGCGTATTAACAATTACGCAATCGAAATAAAAGTTACACCACATAGCATGTTGGCAAGTCCTGACAAATAAGCATTCGCTAAAAAAAAAGTAAATTGTGCCAAACAGGACAAAGCCAAGAGCATTTGAGTATTTACAAGCTTGGAGCTTGTTTCAGTCAAGCCTTTCCTCGTATTCTCGTGCGTACAACAGGTGCCATATCCCATCTATTATGACAATAAAAAACCTTAGACTTAGATTTCATAACGATCTGCTAACACAAAGGTCAAATGTGAGGGGATTCTCTGGGGACTATAATATATATTTTTGAACACAAACATTTTCATCAAATGCGGTAAAACTGCCCTTACCTTTTAGTATTTACCGGTTTTCCTCTATTTTGGCTAAATTGATTTTTTGCCACTGTTGTTGTTGTTGTTGTTGTTTCAAAATCGTTGTTTCTATTAACTGTGTTCGGTCGAGCCTTGCGTAGAATGAGTTTTCTTTGGATTGCAAAAGTCTTCTGAGTAAACTGTCTGCCTAACCCCTCATATCACTTATAATGTCACGAATTTCTTAAAACAATCGAGTCTTCCTTTGACTTCCGTGGCACGAAAACAATCCCTCAAGCGGAAAGACGTATATCTTTCCTGCGAGGTGGTTCAAAAGCGGAACACAATGGAATTTTTTTTTTCTTCCGATAAAGCCAGTTCAAAACGTAAATAAGCTTCGTGAAAAGATTTCGTCGTCTTGTTTAGGGCTTCGCCAGCGCAGGAACCCTGTTAGACAAGTGCTTTATTCAACTGAGTTTTGTAACATACACCTACAGATTTCGTGATATGTTATTTAAACTGTTTTCAGTTTAAAGACGGGACAAGCAACACGTGTTGGCTTGAGCATGGAACATATCGTGATGTCAATACAACAAGTTATAGATTTGAGGGTCAAGGTATTTTTAATATCACAAATTCTCTCAACATATCATCTAATTATACGACAACAGAAACATTTTCAAACAATCTATTGTGGAAGTTTGGAATAAATATTCAAGGAAAATGTTGAAATGATTGTATTCTGGTGTCAGACTAAGCTCCCGTGTACCAGATGGTCGTATTCCGTGATAGAAATTGAAGCTTGAGTGATTTGCTTGTGTTAAAATTTCCCGCCCTTGACGCGGGCGAGATATCAACTTTCCGCCATATAATGTCAGTTCATATCATCGGGATGGTTCATTCATCGTTTCGGCGCAAGGTCACACATACTCCTTGTCCACTTCGGTTGAGATTTGTGGCTCGTTGCTCTCGAACTGACGTAAGATAATTCTGCAGCAAGTCCTTTGTTCAGGCGCAATATAGCTCACAACAACTTTTGGGAAATATCGATAATCTGATGGTAAAGATAAAGACCTTTTGGTGATTGCTCAAAAGCTGTTATTAAAAAACGTAATTATTTGGTTGAGTGAAGTTGAACTTGAGTCAGAACTATTTCATTGGCACAAGACAGTGGAACCTTAATAAAACGTGAGGACTGGCAAAATATGTTCGCTATAAAATTGATGAGGTTTCGTTGTATCAAGGTTCTTTTCCAAACATTTGACAGTTACTAGAGAGATAAATATCATTCGCTGTACCAAGGACTTCGTTATATAGAGATTCGTTAAATCGATGTTTCACTGAGGAAAGAAACTTAGATCATTTTGCGAGACAAAAGAAAGAATAGCGTCCCAAGCTCTCGCGTGTCACCAGTGCTCTTGTACAGGAAACCCGCAGGACAAAAGGGTTTCTTTGCCCCTGGAAAAATCATATCCAATTCTGATCACTACGGTAGTTAAGCAATTATTTTTCGGCTGTTTTCACGTGTGCAGGCTGGCTGCACGACCTATTTTATTGCTTTGTACAGGTGTCTCGACGTTTTTCCTGTAAGTGTCGTGGCCTGATCTGACCGAGTAAAACAGCAAGATTAACCAGTTGCGGCTGGAAAAGAGCTTCCTTGACGCGTCTTGTCGAGTGTGTGGTTTTGTCACTGAGAAACCTCATTCCAAAACAAATGCAATGATCTATAAAATATTTTCAGATATTTTCAGATTTTTTAATTCATTTAACACAAGTTTCACACAAGTTACAATACACGCACGCGACAAAGTATATCTAGTGACGTCATGTATTTGAACTTCTTGATGACGTCACGACAAGCAACTTTTCCTTTTTTAGCACAGCTATCGACATCACGTTTGTTTTTTCCCGCGAACGACAAAATGCCATTTATGCAATTTGTTGTCAGCTTAGAGCTTGCTGTAATTCGTTAAAATTTGTAGCTTAGCGTTTGTTGTACTGTAAAAGCTGTTCACGGTCTGTTATTTTCAAGATTGTCGTAGCCATCCTTCATAATTATCTCTTATTTTTTTTTTACCTTACACGAACGACGGTAAAACGAAGACCCTCGGGGTAGGTCCTCCCAGAAACATTGGGTGGGGGAGTGCGGTTCGCTTCCCAAAACCCTTACTCTATTTATGACCAAAGTCTACGATTTTCCCTACCCTATATATGACCTGACAAAAAATTCCATACACTATTTATGACCTGACCCTTAAATCAATACCCCGTTGCAGACCTGCCTTATAATTAGTTCCCTAGTGTTAAATTGCCGTAAACATAATATGTGAAGGGCTTTTGTTGATGGTCTCATCGATAATGATGAAAAAGTAGCTTCTTCTTAAAAGAATTAGACTAAATACCCAATTCAAGACTAGATTGCAAAAAAATACCTTTATGACCAAAATTGCCAAAATCGGTACCCTATTTATGACCAAAACGGCTGAAAAACCATACCCTTGTGGCCCGCACATACCTATATAGCCCATATAAGGGGGTAACCCCGGTGAAGACCCCGTGATAGCAACAACCGCGATTCGATTGTTAAAATCATCAAATTTTCCCAGTCCCATGCCACTTGGTAACCTTTTCAATCCCAAGTTCAAAGCGATTATTCTTCTCAATGATTGCCATAAAGTTCTTTTAATGCCAGTTCTAATAATACACAACAATGTCAACTAGCTGATGATCTTTTTAGTTCTCGTAACCTGTTTGCTTGATGATGCACTGATATTTTAATAAGAAATTGGATTTTGATCACTGATGGTATCGAAGTCATAAAAAATTGAACATTCGGATACAACACACGGTAAAAAAAAGTGGCCAGATGGTGCACCATGATGTGTGCAACCTGCTTGGGCAGTGTACTAGGAGGGAGTTGAAAAAACCATGACGGCAACGGCAACGGCAACGGCAACGTCGCTAAACAAAAGGTTTAATGAGCAGAACAATAGCTGTGCACGTGCGTTATAATTCTTGGAACATTTCTTGACCGTCCTCTCCAAAACAACAACGTGAAATGACTAAATCACGTAGGGGCCAAACCACCCCCCAATTGTTTCGTCAGTTCTTGGATATTTCACATTATTTCGCATTACTTAAAAAGTATTGACTCTTTCTACACCAAACTTGGCAGATGAGCAGGAGACCTATTGCCAATTATATTTACGTGAACAATGTCAGTAAATGTCAAAGTTCTGACGTCACAGTGATGACGTCATGTTTTTTGCCACTTTTGAAGTTTTTAATATGCCTATTTTTTACAATGTGTTCGAAAGAGCACATCAAGGGGAGTTCAAACCTGAAAAAATTTTGTCCATATCACAAAAATTAAATGAAATATGGCATTTTTAAATATGAAAAATAACTCTGCAAAATATGGGGTCCCCCCTTGAG